TATATATCGAAGTTGGTAGCATTTGCGTTAAAAGTCGAGTAAGTCAAAAAGAGTGTAAAAGTCAAGCCAGAGGCAGAATAAAGGCAAGTCACCGTGTTCTTTGCCATTTCTTTTAACATTATCGAGAATTATGGTACTGAAATTAACACTGAAAGCGGTCAAGACCGATTCTGTTCTCACAACTAGGGGAATTAGCTGAAATTTTTCTATCAGGTGGCTTATTTGGCATTATGCTTACAATAAAATTGCAGGAAAAATGTGGTGCTATTCCCGAACAATTTATATGCCACTATCTTACTTATACGGCAAGAGATTTGTGGGTCCTATTACTCCTCTCGTTTCAGAACTGAGAGAAGAGTTGTATGATCAGCCTTACGAAGAAATTAATTGGAGGAGCACACGCCACCTATGTGCAGAGGTAAAAAGAAAAAAAAAAAAAAATACTCTGAACAAATATAGCTAGAAATGTATTAAATCGAATGTCTTGCAGGAGGATTTGTACTATCCTCATCCATTGATACAAGATTTGATCTGGGATAGTTGTTATGTGGTAACCGAGCCCCTATTAACTCGTTGGCCTCTCAACAAGCTAAGAGAGAGAGCTCTCGGAGTTGTGATGAAACACATTCACTATGAGGATGAAAACAGCAGGTACATCACCATGGGATGTGGGGAGAAAGTGTTGTCTATGTTGGTTTGTTGGGTCGAGAATCCTAACGGTGATCATTTCAAGAAGCATCTCATGAGAATTCCTGATTATTTATGGGTTTCTGAAGATGGCATGAAGATGCAGGTAACTAATTAATATGAAATCCTCTTGAAATAGGATTAATTAGACTCCATGTGTATATGATCGACTTTCTCCATTTCCAGTAATATATTTGTTCTCAACATATGATTGGCAATACAGAGCTTTGGCAGTCAAGAGTGGGATACAAGTTTAGCTGTACAAGCACTGCTGGCTAGTGATCTGACTCATGAAATAGGCGACACTCTTAAGAAAGGGCATGACTTCATAAAGAAGTCTCAGGTTTCGATTGCGACAAAACTCTTCGTGTCGTCGGATTTGGAGTGTTGAAAAATACTCACATTGATTAGGTTTGCAGGTCAAAAAAGATCCTTTGGGTAACTTTAGAAGCATGTACCGCCATATTTCTAAAGGATCGTGGACATTTTCGGACCAAGACCAAGGATGGCAAGTATCTGACTGTACAGCTGAAGGACTGAAGGTATTTAATAGTCTTTTTCAAAAAACATAATTTAGTGCAGGCCAAATGAAAGTACTGTATTATTATTTATTAATATCCCTTTCTGATTTTCTTCATCCAGTGTTGCCTTCTCTTCTCTATGATGCCTCCGGAAATAGTTGGGGAGAAAATGGAACCTGAGGGACTCTACGACGCTATCAACATAATTCTTTCTTTGCAGGTAGAACTCTACTCTTTGGGCTTATGTTTGCTTTCCTAAAACCACTACGCAAGTGTCCAAATTACAAATCAATTTGCTTTGAGTAATACCCGCTTGTATGAATTGCAGAGCAAAAATGGAGGTTTAGCTGCATGGGAGCCTGCAGGAGCCTTGGAGTGGCTGGAGGTAGTTCACTATCCTAAAAGAAACAATAATAATTCAAATTTGAGACCACATTTTATAATCATTAGGTTTGATATATATACATATATATATATACACTTAAAAAAGAACAAAAGAAGTAAGATTTGTCGGGGTTGAAAGAGAAATAAAGTTTCTAATTCTATTCCGTTGTGCAGACACTGAACCCTATGGAGCTTTTAGCCAAAATTGTCATTGAGCATGAGTAAGATGCATCCCAATTATCTTCCATCCATTGAGGAGTACATTATGATCTCGGCTTACTTTTACTGCAGCACGATCTATTATTTATTTATTTTGGTCTAGGCATGTTGAATGCACTGCATCGGCAATCCAAGCCATTGTCCTGTTTAAGCAGTTGTACCCTGAGCATAGAAAAGAAGAGATTGAAATCTTTATCAGAAAAGCTGTGGCCTACTTGGAACATGTTCAGAAGCCTGATGGTTCTTGGTATATTATCCTTTTTCTTTTTTCTTTTTTCTTTTTCTTTTCTAATTAAACTATGCCACCAAGTTTAATAGTGTCCCCTATTCTCAATTTCCAACTTCCATGTACATATAGGTACGGGGAGTGGGGCATTTGCTTTACATACGGTGCATGGTTTGCAATTCGAGGGCTGACAGCAGCTGGTAGGAACTATAGCAACTGTACTGCCATTAGAAAAGGAGTCGATTTTCTGCTAAAATGTCAAGCTGGTGACGGTGGGTGGGGTGAAAGCTATCTGTCCTGCCCAAAGAAGGTAAAACTTTCTATTTGGTAGTGAAATTATGAATATCATAGATGACAGCTAAATCTCTTGTACAAGTTTGAGACTGACTCAAATTTTAATGAGCCCCTTTTCAAGAAATACGTGCCACTGGAAGAAAACCGGTCGAACTTGGTTCAAACTGCATGGGCAATGATGGGTCTGATCCTTTCTGGCCAGGTTAGTTTAATTACTACAACTACATTTTATATCTATTTCAACTATTATCATGAAAGGTACTCTTTTGTATAGAATGTATATGATATATAATATAAATATGTGATTAAATATATAATCACAATAGTAATCTTGAATATTGTAAAAACTTAATAGGGTAATAGGGACCCAAAACCCCTTCACCAGGCAGCAAAGCTTTTGATCAACTCTCAACTGGAAAATGGAGATTTTCCTCAGCAGGTATATATAAGTACATTTTCATGGTTTGAATAGTACACAGCTCATGAAGTAAATCATATCGTGCGATTCGAACTGCTTGAGTTGAACACTCACTTGATTCAGTTAAATGCTCTTTCATGCTCTCACCAGTATCCATATATGAAATCTCGAATTAGATTTGTGTTATTTTTTTTATCATTACTTGGTCCAATTCACTTCAAGTCAGAGATATGTGCTTGAACACATCCTGCCTTTATTTGTGCTACGTCGATACAGTACAAATTGGTCATTTTTATGTATTCATTTGCAGGAAATTACAGGAGTTTTCAAGGAAAATTGCATGTTACATTATGCAGCATACAGGAACATATTTCCAATTTGGGCTCTGGCTGAATATCGCAAATGTGTTCCACTA